TACACCTCAATAACACCAACAAATGATTTAGAACATGCATTAATAAAAAATCAGCTCATTCCCTTCAAATCCAATATGACTTGAATTAAAAACATAAAACAACTAGAAAAAACAGAACAATCATATGGAATGCTTGAGATAATCTTATGGAAAGCTTGAGTTGCCACGTGCACGTATAGATGCCAATATTTTATTTTGGCGTTCAATTAGCCATTCTTTCCCGACTTGTGTTGGCATCGATTCTGGATCTTTTTGCATGATTAACATCTTTTCAGCTCTTTGTTTGTTTTCAATCTCTCTTAGTTTGCTTTGAAGCTCGAGTTGTTTGGTTTTTTTTTTTTTATCTACTTTGCTTGACTCTCATGCTATTTGAGCGGCCTCAAGAGTTTCAGATTGTCTTTAATAAAGGGCTGTTGCATGATCGAATTTGCTAATGAAATAATTCTGACTTTCAGATTGTCTTTTATCCTTATTTCGCCTCTGCTTCACTACTTTTCATCCTTCTGGTCACTGACATTCTTCAACATTCGTCGGATCATTTTTGCTAATGTGCGCCGATCCTTCAACCGAACTTGGTGTTGCTGCTGCATTACTTGATGGAGTAGATGGGTTTGAGTGACCAATAGGCTCACTATCATCAATGTGGATTCCACTCCTCTTCTTCGGCTATTTTTTTTTTTGGATGTCAATTCTTTTTGACAATGTAAATGCCACTTATTGTTGCTCTTCAAAATGTTCCAACAACTGTCAAACTTAAATTTGGTGTTATTTTGACGAGCAAACAACTCATTCGCTGCTATCATCTAAAAAAATAAAAATCAATAATTATTAGAAGACAAAATCTTTAAAATATCTACCAATTAAATTTAATATAATAAATAACTTACCTTGTACTCATTGTCTTGCCCACTGGGGTAATTCCTTTAGATCTGTGCCATGCATACAGAAAATTTGGTAATCATTTGTTGCATGATGGACTAACGATTTAAGCAAATGATGTGATTTCTTTTAGGTGTATCAACACCACTAATGTGTTGCTCAAAACTTTCTTGAATTCGAATCCATAACACTGCCTTTTGTTAGTCTGAACCGATGACCGCATCAGTGCTATTGGCCATCCATGCATAACATAAAGCCTCATCTTTAACCGTGGACCACTTAGGAGGCCGAATAGCCCTTTGCTTTCTGGGAGGTTGGGAGTTATTGGATTGTGGCACTTTAGTAGGAATTTTAGAAACTTGAGAAGGTTGATGAGACAGAAATTGAGATTCATCTCCAACAAATTGAGATTCTTCTCTAACAAATAAGAAGGGATCAAAATTATCATTTGATTGGTTGAATTGGGAATTGTAGTTGTAATATGGTGGTGGAGGATTCATGGAATTAAACTTGAGTAAAAAATATAACTAAAAGATTGATAAAATGACTTAGTAGTTGTAGTTGTTGGTTGAAAACTAGAGAAGATGGGTTGGATATAAGGTGAATAAGAGTAGGGGTTGATGTATTTATAGAGGAAAAATGAAAGTTATTTTTTTATAAAAATAAATAAATAAATAAATAAATATATATATATATATATAATGAAATTTTTTTTTAAAAAAATTCAAAAATAGGTTTTTGTGCCAATATAGTCATTAAGACACTATTTGGGTCAGCCAAACAGTGCCTAAAATGGCTATATGTCAATAGGAATATTTTAAAAAGCAATTTTTTTTTAAAAAAAAAACATTTTATCTATTTTTTTTTAACTTTTTTTGCTCAAAAAAGCTTTAAGGCATTATTTGTGTCAGCCAAACAGTGTCTTAATGGCTCTTTGGTTCAATTATTTTGAGGAAAAAAAAAAGAAAAAAAAGAGAGACCAAAATCAGTAAAAACACTAATTTTTTCCTTCTTTTTTTTTTCCAGCCAAACATGCCTTACCAAACAGTGTTCTGGGCTAAAACACTGTTTGGGCCAGAATTAAAAAAGAAGAAGAAAACTGATGCGGGCTCGCATGTCGGGCCCGCAATTCGCCAAACAAATCTTGGTTTTTGGCGACTTGGATCAAGATTGTCTTAATGGGACCCATTTTTTGAAGAGTCCATTGGAGCAATACAGTCTTCAAAATTGGCCCAAAATCGCCAGATCACTCACCATTGGACCTGCTCTCATGTACGCTTCTGATCTTGCAGACGTTGGCACTAAAAACTCCCAAATGCCCAAATGCAAGTTTACGCAAAAGGTTTTATTAACACTTAATTCCACGTACACCACAAAAGTAAATTATTTAGAGCATGTTTGATTTGTCTTTCAGAAAAATAATTTTCAATGACTCAGAAAACAAAAAATTGTTTCCACATGCTATTTTATAATGAGTTTTCAGAAAATTGAGCTAAACAGATTTTTTGTACAATTTTCTGATTTTAGGTGTTTTTCGAGTGACAAATCATAATATTCTCCTATCATCCCGTATCAGCTGGGAAACAAAAAATTAAAAAAACGGAAACTAACAAGCAGAATGAGACAAACCCCGGAGCTGCAACAACATGAGTTTCACCCTAAAGGAGTCGGAGGTGAAAGAAGAAGGGGCCATGCTTGTGATCAAGTTATATTGCAAGCGTCCCTGCTACAAAAAGGACTAAGTACATAGGCAACGGCGAAGAGCAGAAGGATTGTCATTTGTCAATTACCCTTGAAAAAAGACTGGTTGTGTGACATCCACCGGAATGCTATGCGTACAAGTTTGAGGATAATCGTACGTTGTGGAAGAAAATATGAAATGTCAGCAGCAATTTGCTAGTCATTTTATGAAGAATGATGATGAAGAGGGAACTAATAATTTGATTTTACCCAAATTCCGATACTTCTATTGCTCTATGTATGGTGTGTAAAATAATTTTGGTATTGATGATCATATATATTCAACGCCACTCGTTGTGTGTCGTCACAAAAGACTCACTGATGAAAGTCTAAGTGAGGGTGAAGCTCTTAATAACAAATTGATGAATGCGGTTTACGGAGGGAAAAGGTGGATGTCATTGAGAAAAACTCGATTGCGTCTTATTAGGGATAATTCAAGTTCTTTATGAAATAATTTTTTTTAAAACTTTGACTACATGGACGGTGAAACACAACCATGTCTTTAAGTTAATTGTCGACTCTCGACAATTATAGCATTATTCTTTTGAAATGAGTCATTTGAAAATTCCTGACCTTTGATATAGTTCCTATCTTTTTCTACAAAATATTGAAAAATCAATTAAAGATTATAGCATGTTAAATTTCAAAAGCTTTTTTAAGGAGCCTCTTTCGTCCTATAAATTAAGACTTAACAATACAAATTTGTCTTTGATCCATAATATTAAACCCTAATAAATGTAGCTCAAAACAAAATTTCCTCCAAGTTGTAGCCAATAAGTTGAAGCCCATCGTATATTGGTTCTATTCTTGACGAAAGTCAAAGTGATCTCATACTTGGCCAACAAATCTCCAATGATATATATATTTTTTTTGGTTAAAAAATCTCCAATGATATATTCGTAGCATATTCATGATGGGTTGATTTTTAATAAGAAAAGAAAACGATATGCACAAATAGGCCCACGGAGGATTGAAAAACATGTTGGGGGCTATTGAGCTATTGCCCATGTTCCCGTCACTAGCGGTGTTAAAAAACAAGTAGGTCATCTTCACATTTTTTAAACAAAAATATCATAAATTTTAAAAGACGAAAATGCCCTTCAAAATTACTCTTGGAAAAAATCTCTGACGCTCTCACTTGTTCGTCGATCCGAAAGGACCAAAACCCAAATCCACAACTACCACCACCACCACCGGCTTCGAAAAAAATACCCACTCGTCGGAAGCCCACCGGAATTCTTCTTCAACCGCCTGGAACACCGCCGTCCTCGCTCGCTGTCCCACCAACTCCACTGTCTAACGGAATCATCACACCAATCAATAATTAGCACCATTTTGGCTCTGCTAATGGTGGAATCTACAACCAGATCCAAGCTGTAAGTGATTTTTTGGCTTGTTTATGAATTGGGTTTCTCTAGTTGGGGTTCTTTATATTTGAAATTTGAGATGGGTTATGTTAATTAGACTTTATTTTATTTTATTTATTCGTTGCTTTGGTACTGTGGATTTATTTGGAAAATTGTGATCCAAGAGTTGTTTTCTGATCTAAACTTATTCTTCTTGGACCTGAAATATGATGTGTGTGTATTCTGCTCAGAAGAAATTCGCATATTATCTCTGTTTCTGATAGGGAATCTGGATATGGATTTACCTTTTTGAAGTGTATTTATTATAATGTAAGTGAAAGACGGAACAAATGTGTGAAGTGTAAAAAATTAACGTGGGTGAGATTTTGGCAAACCTGCGGGAGGGTGTCAGTGCATCTTACCCCTATTCTCTTTTTTTTTTTTTTTTTTAAAAAAGAAAGTTCATCACAGGCTCACAGCTGAGATAACCAAAGAAATTATTACATAAATGTTTTCCTAAATAAGGCACTAACATATACAAACAATTCTCATACACTCACCTCTTGCAAGTTCTGCTCAAACTCAAATTGTAGTGGGTGTTTAATTAAAAGTTTTCAAATATGTACATAGAGGTGATATATGCATTAGCTCCACTTTGGTATAAACACCCTCTAACTTCCATACTGCTCAATTTCCTTCTTATTTACAATACTTACTGACATTACTAATAATAATAATAATAAATAAATAAAAATGAAGTTCATATTTTTTTTTAGTTAGTACTCACACACATGTCTTTACCGAGAATTGAACCATGACCTCCCTTTGGAAAGAAAAGTAGGAGTCTGGTACTGCTAGGCCGATTGCCTGTTGGTAAGTTCATATTTATTATTTTGTTTAAAAAATTTTTTTTTTTTGATTTTTAAAATTAAAACGCTTGCATAGTTTAGGTCTTCCACAAGCTCTTTAAATTTCTTGGTTTAGTCTTCCTAACAGGTTAGCTCTCTCTAGTCGCTCCAACTTATAACAACAGACATGGACTGCATCAAACCGCGGGAAGAGATGGACTGCACAGACCTGGAGATCAATCTTATTTCAGCAAGCCATCTTAAACCTGTAGGAAAACTTTCCCGGATGAAAGTTTATGCTAGGGTTTCAATTGGGGGTGCCCCCATGACCAGCTCATCATCAGAGAAGCGAACTCCGGTGGACAATCATGGCAAGACCAACCCTGCATGGAATTTCACCACCATACACACCATTGATAAGTCCGCGGTGCAAAATGAATGCAGGATACTTGTCATCAAGCTATACAGCAAGCGATTCATTATGAGGGACCGATACATTGGTGAAGTTCATGTATCACTGAAGGAGCTCTACAAACGTGCGAGTAATGGTAGCAAGACGAACACGGTGGAATACCAGGTGAAAAAAGGATCAGAATATTCTAATGGAATGCTCAAATTTTCATACATGTTTATAGGAACCAAGGCTGATCATGAACATGCTTCTTTCTGGGCGAGAACAGTCAGTGACGCAGCTATGTTGTTTTTCAAAGTGTTCCTTAACTATAGGTTTAAAAGTAATATTCCAATATAAGTCAATTTAATCTTTCTTTCTGTTGATTGAAGAATAATATGTGTGTATATATATATATCGTTTAGTTGTATGCTTCTGTAAATAGTTTTTTTATTTTCCCCAGTCTCTCTCAATCTTTTGATATATTTTTGGATTAATTGCATAAATCTTATTGCGTTGAGAAAAGTTTCATGGAACCTCATCTACGAAATATCAAATGTTGTACAAGACACCCTATTAAATCAAGTTTGAGTTAAGAAATAAACAGTTGAAACATTTGGATTTTTGATATCAACATATATCCATTAATAATTTTTAAAAATATATATCTTTGAAAGTATCCATCTGTTCGTAATCGTATGAAAAAAGAAATGTTAATAAGTCAAATTAATTAAGACTCAACAAATCTAAAAAGTCTTGCTATAGATTAATGAATGAAATTTGTCTTTGTAATTGGAACATGAACTAGTTTTTAGAGTAGAAATAGTCAACACAGAGAGCACTGGACTTGTTCGTAAATTTGAGAAAATTGATTCCCTTCTGTTTCGTGTAAATTGGGCTTTCGGTTTAGTCGGGTAAATAACATCTTTACAAAAAAAAAGTCAATTTACGACAAACATTATTACGTGTCCCACTCATATAATTTCTCACCAAGATGACCCTGAAGCCTCACCCACTCAAGTCCACTTGCTAGAGTTTTATCATATTGTCAAGCGGGAGTAGTATTTGTATTGCCTTCTCACACAGACACAGTCAAACATTTCTTCAAATCTCAAACTCTTCAACGCTTGGGCGTCTCTGAAATACACAGACCACGATAGGGGTAAATTTCTCTCTCTAAATCTCAACTTCTATTTCTCCTTCTCTCTCAGTTTTCTGTTCAATTACAGGATTTTAATTTCCTTCTAAAAGTTTTACTCAAATCAAATGAATGGGTGTTCAAACCATTTCGCCCCTGATTCTTTGCTTTCTCACCTTTCTAATTTCCTATTCTTAACAATAATTTCTGTAAATTAGTGATTCAGCTAAAGAAAAAAAAAATTTTATGTTCGGTTTGTTCTCTCTCTATCTCTATCTCTTCACTTTGACCAGCAAAACGATTCAAAACATGCAATCAAATCCTATACTTCTGCTCCAAAATCTCTCTCGACCCACTTCCATTTTTTTATTAATTTAAAAGATCATTTTTCCTTTCACTATGAAATATCAATTTTTTTAAAAAAATCTTTTAATACCCATTTGCTTGAAGTCACTATAAATTAGGTTGGACGGGGAGCAGACTTTGTTCACTAAATTTCAGATCTACTGGAGTAGCTCTGGGTTGGTGTTTCATTAATTTTTTCATTTACTAGTAATTATTAGTGTTATAAGGGAGGATAATCTCCTTTTTTGTGCTTCACTAAATTTCAGATTTACTGGAGTAGTTCTTTTGTGCTTCAATATTAAATTTAAATTTCACATCTACTATAAATTATTAGTATTATAACGAACTTGTTACACATCCTGACTTAAGCAGGCTAGACATACAACGGCTTCGGCATGACTTTACGCGAGATGTTTCAGGTGATCAACGTTTCCGCCTCTGGTCTTCCCAACATTGGCGATGAAAACTCCAAAATGCAAGTTTACGCAAAAGGTTTTATTAACACTCAACATCTATATATCCATCTAATCAAGAAATTATTGATTGCAACTGTGATGCCACGTCACATGACTGACGTTCTATCACACAAATCAGTAAAAATTATTAGTTGCACGTGGCTTACCGGTTGTGTGATACCATGTCAGTCCTTTGAGAACGACAATTGTTGGTCTCAGATATGGCCATGCCTTCGGTGCAATGGAAGGAGAAAGTATACAATAGCCAGGTGTATTTACCCCATAGTACCTCGGCCAATGGACAATCATTGAAACTCTTAATTTGTCTTGATAATGGAGAAATGGAGAGTTTTGAAGAAAAAAAACCTGATTGTCAATTGGTTCGGGACACCACATAGTAAATACTCCAGGGTATTGTATACTTTTCTCAAGGAAGATAGTAGATAAGGCTTCCAAACTGATTAGCTTAGCTGGTTTTATCTCTTGGCAATTGTGGAAGGCAAGGAATAATTGGATCTTTAATGGGGTTCAATGTGATCCAATCCAATGGGGATATAAAGGAGTGGATATAGAGGGCTGAGTGTAAGCAATTATGTCATTTCAGCTAATGGATTTGGTGACTGAGTTGGGCGCCTCTCGTTATAATGGGATTGCTCATTTTGCTGAGTAGTAGAGCTCTGCATGAGCAAATCACAAACTTTGATTGGGATGTTTGGCCTAAATGACTTCTTGATGCTTTCGATTAATACAAGTTGCATTTCTGTTAAATGAAATTTATATTCTCCTAACATGCAGTTTTAGTCGGGAAACGCAAAAAGATGAAAACGGAAACGGACGAGGATAATGAGACAAACCCGGCTTGGAACTGCGACATGAGTTTCAAACTAAAGGAGTCGGAGGTGAAACAAGAAGGGGCCATGCTTGTCATCAAGTTATACTGCAAGCGGCCCCGCTTCGAAGAGGACAGGTACATGGGTGAGGTGCAAAAATCTTTATGTGAACTTTTCAATGAAGCGGCGGAGAAGTACAAAAGGCGTGGCATATGTGGATTACCCTTGAAAATGGCTGGTTCCGAGACATCCACTGGAATGCTACGTTTTTCATACAGGTTTAATAGTGTCAAGAAACGTGTCTGGTGGAAGAAAATATTTTATGTCAGCCTAGGTTTTATATTTGTTTTAAACACATAATTTTTGTTGCATGTGTGCGACCCTCGAACTCTGTTTTATTATTTTTTGTTTTATGAAGATGATGACGAAGAGCGAACCCGAAGGGAACTTACTGAAGAGGCATCTAAATTATTTGATTTTATCCAAATTCCAATACTTCTATTGCGCCTCTATGTACGTGTGTAAAATAATTGTGTCATTGATGATTATTTGTATATATTAAACGTACCACACTTTGTGTGTGAAATTGTGGTATGGATGATTATTATATATATACATATGTTAGTCTTCCTATATACATATGTCCTGTCTCTGTGTTTATGGTATGGATGATTATACGAGGTTGGTGATGAAAGAAGATGTTTCTGAAGCAAGTGTGATCACACACACAAAAAAATAAAAATAAAAAAATAATAAAAAACAACTCATTAATGAAACATCTAAATGAGAGTGAAGCTCAGAATAACTATTTGATGAATGCAGTTGATGGAGGGAAACTATAAAGGAAAAGGTGGAGGTCAATGATGAGGGATAAAACAAGCTCTTTTTGAAACCAAAAACACTAAAACTTGACCACAGGAGACCGAGAAATGTACTTATGTCTGCAAGTCAGTTGTCGGCTCTCTTGTAGCATGATTCTTTTGAATGATTCCTTTGAAAGCCCGACCTTGACTGTATGATCCCTAATCTTTTCTCAAAAATCTTGGAAAAATCTTCAAAGATTATATTAAGTTATCTTTTTTTGAAAGGTTATATTAGGTTTTCTTTCAAAAGTTTTTTTCAGTTGTAGTTTCCTCATACCAGTATAAATTAAGACTTGACCAGGCAAATTTGTCTTTGGTCCCTAAGACTCAATTCAGGCGTATTGTTTTGTGTACTGTTGTAACAAAATTAGCCAATAAGTTTTGGTTCTATTATTGACGAAAGTCAAAGTGATTTCATTCTCGGTCAATAATGATATATTGGTATCTTATGATCACTCTCTAAATATTTATCAATTTTTTTTTTATAAAAAAAAAAAAAAACAAAGAAAGAGAGAGAAATGTTCTACTTAGGGCCGGTTTACTAACGCTTTTACTTTCTTACTTTCGCTTTTTCGAAAAGTAAAATCATGATTTTCATTTCTTTGAGATGAAACAGAAAGTAAAATTATGTTTAGTAAACTGCGAGTTACTTTTGAAATTTGAAAGTAAAACACAGAAAGTGTGTTTAGTAAACTACTGTCTACTTTTGAAATTTGAAAGCAAAACAAAGAAAATGTGTTTAGTAAAAAATAATAAATTTCTATTTTTGCTTTTAGTAATTTACATTGTTTTATATCTTTTTATATCTATTGCATTTTGGCATTTATAAAAGTCTATTAACAAATAAAGCTACAGTATTATTTTAGCCTTCACATTATTGCTGATTAAATTTAATCTTAGAAGAAACAAATTCAACCTTCATAATCAACTTAAAAACTGAAGCTAATGATTTCTTCTATTTTTTTGGGTTACACCCAAAACTTACATATTAGTAATGCATGGCTATAATTGTTAAGCCTATGTTAAACCCTTTTCCACAATTATTAAAGTAAATGTCATTAGTCTGCTTTTTATTTTATTTTTCACAAAAAGATAAATCATTTATGGCTCATTACCAAATAAAAAATGAAAAATTATTAGAAAATAATTTCGCTGCCGGGATTTGAACTCGGGATTTCAAAAATTAGCTGAAATTTCCAAAGTGGTACAGTAGATCTCATGCTAATTATTCTGCATTTTATGGAATTTATATTACAAGAATGAAATTCTCTTTCGATCCTTTCAGTCCTTACCCATGGGGCCATGAACTCTATTAAGATATGCTCAATTGGAGTGTTGGAGAAAAATTCTGCTTTCCTTTATTGAGATTTGTAGGGGTTAATTGGAACTTTGTAATTTTACATGACACTACAAAGTCTCTACAAAAATCAAAGTGATTATAATTTTTAAAAATAAGCTGAATGAAAGTTAAGGGATACTATAGTTGATCTACTAGTTAAACCGAAATCAACAGATTCGGATCATAGGATTTTATCTAGGAATGAATCAAAAGTGCAATATCATACAACATCATTAAATTAAAGATGCAACTAGAAAAAGATGTCACATTGTTGCAACTCAATGTAATATAACAAGATGTCAGATTATATTAGTATAGTAACAAGTGAAACACAACTCTAATTTTTCGGCCCAGCATACATATAATATCAAAAGCATGCAGATTATAACATGAATTCAAATGGCATTTAGATACAAAATTAATCCAAATAAAAATGACAATATTACAATATCCAAATAGAAAATTAATCTTAATAAAAAGCAACAATATTACAATATCCAAATAGAAAAATAAAAAAATAATCCTAATAAAAGTGATAATATTATAATGAGCAAATAGAAGTGATTCATCTATCACGATAGTTGTTCCACAACTCATTTGTAACTGCATCACGGGTTTTACTCATCTCTTGAATTAGCTCCTGTATAACATTTACTCTCTGATAAGTACCACCTAGCTCCACTTCTTCTTCTTCTTCTTCTTGAAGATTGACATTCTCATCCCCATATTCATCAAAAAGATGATCTAAATGGGCTTCGTCACGAATAAAATTATGTAATGTGCAACAAGCAATAACGATGAGTGCTTGTACACTCAGTTTGTAAGGAGGCATCAACTTAAGGATCGGCCAACGCATTTTTAATACACCAAAACAACGTTTGATCACATTTCTCAGTGACGAATGCCTATAGTTGAATAGTTCATGAGGACCCCTTATTCGTCTCCCCCTATATTCGTGTAAATGATATCTTTCGCCACGATAAGGTGCTAAGAAATACCTCATATTGGTGTACCCAGAATCCACAAGATAATACTTACCTGCACAAACAAAAAATAATTACTTTTTTTCTAATTTAATATGATATCTAAAACATATGATATCTTAATTTAATACCTTCGGGTGGCAACGAAAAATTCATTGTAGGATCAAAAATAGTTTCCAATAATACTCTTGAGTCATTCGCGGAGCCTTCCCAACCTGCCACCACATATGTAAACTTCATGTCGAAAGAACAAATAGCCATTACATTTTGTGTTGTGTCTGATTTCCTTCCACGATAAGGAATTTGTGAAGATGCTGGGACATTTGCATGGATGTGTGTACCATCAATTGCACCAATGAAATTCTACAACACATTATTTTGTTAGTAAATATAAATTCACAATACCAATTAATTAAGTAAAAATATTTTTTTAAAAAAAACTGCCTGAAAGAATGGAAAGTATTTCTCATTATGTTGAATCTCCAATGGTACCTCGTTCATATTTGGTGGACATATTATACTCTTCCCTAATTTGCAAACACACTTTAAAACTCAGTGGAAATATTTATGCACAGTCCCCGTAGAATGTTGATATCTTTCTACCACCACTCGAACACTCTCATTGTGTACTAGAGTATACAAGAACATTGCAACTTGTTCTTGTACGGTTAAGTATCTAGAATCTTCCAAGCCCAATCCCTTTAACCGTTCACATAAATTTCTAAATACATGTTTATCCATCCTAAAGAGTCGATAACACCTAATGGGGTGGCCATTTACTAGTTCAAGTATATAATTATGGCCTTGAAGCATAGAAGTCATACATGGTCTTGGTGGAAGCATATAATGTTCCATGTACTCTATGAACATGTAAATAAACAACAAACACACCCCCATTTCCTCCTCTTCATTTTCTTCATCATCATCAATTAAAGTAGGCAAACAAAATGAATCCATAATGGTAAACCTGATGCAATGAAACATGAGATGCATAAAATGATAATGCATTCAATAAAAGTTAGGGGAAAACACTAAATTCATCTTCAAATGACATATATAATATCTCAGATTAACACAATAAAAAGGACACAAATTAAAGCAAAGAAATAATAAACATTAGCAAAACAAATCCAGGGACTTAACATCAGACATAAGTTTACTAGTTCTAAATCACAAACATAAGTTTACTAGCTTAAACAAATCCCAAATAGAAATTACAAACACCAAAAGAAAAAAACATTGTCTCAAACAAACACAACAATTGCAACCCATCAACACATAATGTTGCAGCCTATCAATCTAGTCCCAGTTGCAGTCTTTCAAGCCAGTCCCGCTTCTTCTCATCACTAAGGTTAACAAATACTCTACTCCAGAGCGGATCTGCACGAAATTGTTTTAGGGCCTTGAAAAATGTGTCTCCATCAATCGGTCCCATGTCTTCTAAGATTTGCAAGCATTCAGTAACTTTAGCGGAGTCTTGATCAACTTGAGACATACCACTTGAGCCTCCACCCTTATCTAGTGCCTCTGCCTTTTTCTTAAAATATTTGCCAAATCCACTCATAGCAGAGGAAATTGTCTTTTGAAAGCTCTCTTTAGTTGATCTTGTACGAGTGAGGTCAGGAGACCGACTCCTATGACGAGAAGTATCCACCACTTCATTGATCTCATTAGGATTTTCATCCCCCTCATCACCACTAATACATGGGCTTTTATTTGAAGGATGAGCACGATTACCAGTTGCATATGTATCACCAAATAAGTTACTAAGCAGATCATAATGTTTGCACCCTTTTTTCCGAAACCGCTTGGCATGCTTGACTTGCTGCAATTATATATTATTGTTAATTTATATGAAACAATAGATAATATTACAAATAATATATTCCAACTAACCTTTTCCATCTCCTCCTATTGGGCATCTGTAAGTGTGACCTGACCAGTTACAGAGTCCCATGATGAACCAGTGTTGGATAGAAATTTTTTGTATACTTTATATCTGTCTCTCAACCCATTGAATTTATTCCTCAATTGTAAGTTCGTATACTTTTCTTTAGTCAACCTTAACATCCCTTCTTCTAAATTTTTCCATCCTTCAGTAGAAAATGTGGTGCCTTTTCGATTTCCATTCTTTCTTTCTTCTTCCATCAAAGTTATTAAGATCTCTTCATTTTTTTCACTCCATAGAAATTGAGAACTTTGATCCTCGACCACATTATCCCCATCCAATAATTGAGTACTTTGATCCATCATTACAACAATTAATACTATGTGAATAATTACTGTATACCAAAATGGCTAACACAACTTAATTGAGCACTTTGATACATCACTACAATAATTAACACACTTCTACAACTTAGCATTGAACATATAATACTGTGAATGAACTCCTATATAATATTTGAAAATTTTTAAATTGTAACTATTATCTACTCTGCTTCTACATGAAGTGTTCAAGTACCATGTTCACAGAGTAAGGGTTCGAGTATCTAAGAGGAAACTGAAAATTAAAGCTATTCAAAGAATTATTAACTTAACAGACTTAACAGAAAGCTCATTCTAAGCATATGGTACACTAATTAGACTTTCCAAGTGAGAATCTCAGAAGTATCCCAGGAGTCCCAAGTCAACATCAAACAGTTTTCATCAGAAAAAAATCCAGTTTATAGTTACATAGTTCTTATGGTAACTATAGATTACCAGCAGTTTAAAGAGAGAGAACATTTGCAGACTTAGATAGGCATATTTCTACTTCTTTTATTATTATTATTATTATTATTATTATTATTATTATTATTATTATTATTATTTATTTTCTGAAATGCATATTTTCAGTTTATATGATATAGTATGTTGTACCAAATAGTAGTAAAAAAACATATTTCAGCATTCAAAGCATTTAACAGGGTCTATTATAACAATGATTATGTCTTCAGATGACATTCAAAATGAAGTTTTGGAGAAAAATTGACCCATCACATTTGTCATCGTGTGTGGAAGAAGTGTTGCTTTATTTTCCTCTGCTAGTAGTTTTGGATTAGGGTAAAAAAAATAAAAAAATAAAAAAAAATAAAAATAAAAAAAAGAAAAATTCTATGGTCTTTAGTAGTTAATTAATTCAATATTTGGCCATTTTTAGGATACTTTTTTCGAAGATGTGTCTACAAAGTAACCTCTATATATTAATATAAGAAACTTAGAAAGAAACTTAGAAACCACATTTGAAGGCCTCTGGAAATTTAGCATGGCATTTAATGCAATAATGATGCTAAGATACATATATAAGGACAAAACTTTCGTGAGACTTGGGCAATGAAAAATTGCTTCAGCATATTTGGCTATATGTGGCACATGTCATCTACAATATGAATAGTGTTGTGACAATCTCAAATTGGTTCATTTTCTTGGTAGATCTGGATAGGTATCTTATTAGGTACCATCAACAAGAATCTAGTTCCAGGAACACACACAAACACACACACGCGCACACTAGGAAAAAACATAAGAAATTTCAGCCATTTGGCCAAGTTGAAAACAAAAGTAGGTAGCTTAGAAGTTGGGACTCATAGGTTTCGACATATATCTAATGTGCAGAAATGACAATCAATTCAACAATCAATCTTAAACTCATAAAAAAAAATTACCAATTTATTTCTTAACAATTCACCACTCAGTACCCTATCTCTTCTTTTGACCAATTTACACCCTATTTGATAATCTACAAGTGGAAGCAGAGTGTGAGGTAGTTCATGGTAAGCCCTTTCCAACACTGTGGAATTCACTCAAAAACATGATGGATAGATTAATGACAGATTTAAGTGTAATTCATTATAACTATAAATTTGTTAGGCAATAAATTCTAAAAAATTTGAGAGATGTTAGAGGAACTTTCAAAAATGAAGCCTTTATATATAAAATTTCACATGCACAACAAAATGACAACCAATAAAACAATCAATCTAAAAAAATCGACAACCACCAAATCCAGCCAATGAAAAATATTTTAAACACTTCTTCTATTTTCGGAAATATTTTAAACAGATCATGCAAATATATACACATTCAGCGAACGAAAACAAAGGAATCAGGGCTGAAGAGGTCTTTGATTTGAGGGCACTGAGACAAATTGTTATATATACACATATAGATATACACATACAGATATACACATACACATTCAGGAATAAAATTGCAGATTCTAGGGAAAAATCTTCATACACGAGGAGAGAGAGCATCTGAGAAGAAAGAGAATCTGAGAAGAGGGAGAATCTGAGAAGAGAGGGTGAACTTACAGGCGAAGTGTTGGTCGGCCGTTGAGTCTCCGTTGCCGATCGACGCTCGCAGATAAGGGATGACGATCGGTAAAACTTTTTTGAAACAGATGAGGTGAGAGGCTAGGGCTTTCTTGAAGCAGACAGGAGGCAGAGGCTTGCGAACGATGATATAAATGAGACGGAGTTTAGGTTTTAAAACTACAGTATTTAGCGCTACAGTATTTAGCGCTACAGTGTGGAAATTACTTCCTCCGCACAGTATAGGAAGTAGAGAAAGTGAGAAAATCTCACTTTCTCTTCTCTTCACAAATTTAGGAATTACTTTCTCAAAATCAAAAAGTGAAAGTAATTTAATAAACGTTATTTTATTTTTATTTTTGCTTTTTCAGAATTGAAAGTAAAAAGTAGGAAATAATTCCTATTACTAAACAGGCCCTTAGTTCGTAACTTTGAAAACAGTTTTCTATTTTCAGGAAGGTGAAAATAGAAAACTGTACAAAAAGCTGTCTGTTTAGTTTGTAATTCTGAAAATAGTTTTTAAGAATTCAGAGAATAAAAAACATTTTTTAAAGAACTATAAAAGAAAGTTCTCTGAAAATAGGCATTTTTAGAACTTAGTTTTTAGAAAACGAAACCAAGGCTTGTTTGGTTTGTAACACTGAAAACAGTATAAAAAAACTTTCTGCTTCATTTAGTTTTCTAAAAACTATTTTCTGTCTTTTATAATTCTCTGAAAACATTTTCTGTTTTCTGAATTCTTAAAAACTATAAACTTGAAAAGGAAAGAAATATGGATGAATTGTTTTTGTATTAGTACACACTTCACAAGTTTACACGGGTTCTCTTTTTAGGAGAGAATACACGTACAAAATCAGAAAACTAATTACAATAGCTAGCTGGCCTAATTAATAATTTCCTAATTTATAGTATTAACCGATATTTTATTTACAACAAATATCCTTCGAATATTATACTTACAGCTAATAATATTTGGTAGTATTACTACCGAATCTTTCCTTTTCAACACTTCCACTCAAGCTGGTTCGAAGATATCTTCCATAGCCAGCTTGCCAATTAGTCTGTCGAACTATCTTGTAGGAAGTCCCTTTGTAAGCACATCTGCAACTTACTCGGTAGTAGGAATGTACGGCATACAGATCAATCCATTTTTGAGCTTTTCCTTGATGAAGTGTTTGTCTACCTCTACGTGCTTTGTTCTGTCATGAAGCACTGGATTATGAGCGATCGAAATAACAACTTTATTGTCACGGTACAATTTCATATACAATGGATTAGAGACATTTAATTCTTCCAATAGTCTTTTAATCCATAATATCTCACAAATTCCATGAGCAACTAATCTAAATTAGGCCTCTGCGCTGCTTCTTGCTATCACATTCTATTTTTTACTCCGCCAAGTGACAAGGTTACCTCCAACAAAAGTGCAGTAGCCAGAAGTTAACTATCTATCAATAGCACTCCCAACCTAATCCGCATCAGTATAGGCTTCAACTTGCAAATGCCCACGATTTTTTAATAGTAGTCCTCTTCCTGGGTCCCTTTTATGTGATACCCCCTGATTTCGGAATACTGGTTTATCAAGTCCGCGCACAAAATTAAGGGATATCAAAATAATTAAAGTATTTAAACAAACACAGAATACAAAGATGAATAATAAAGAATAAATAAACCGCTAAAGAAAACTAATAAATAAATATTAATTAATAATTCTCCAACAATTACAACTTGGGAATCTCGTAATTCCAGGACCCCTTAAAACATTATCCAATAATCCAATCAACTATAAAAGTACACAAACTAAATAGATGAATAACATTCTCCCAGTTGCGGATCCTCAATCTCGAGACTGGAATTTCTAATAACTTGAAAAATAAATCATGGGTTAAACCCTACGAGCAAGTTCTCTCTACCAGACCTCTGAAAACCAATAAGTAGATCATCTCTGATCAAAACCAACCCTAATAAAGTTTTAAGTTTAATAAAGCACGATATACATATCTATATATAATTATATGTACTATACTAACCACATCCATTAATAGGTTTATTAAATTTTCATACCTATTAAACAACGATTAAAATAATAATCATTCCTAAACTAATCCACCATTTCTTTTAAAAAGAAACTCCTTTAATCTTAATCCTATCATAGTCAGTTGTTTATTCATTTAAACAATAAATTATAATAAAAAAGAATATTATATTTAATCCCAAAATCCGATAATTATTTTAATTATTTAAATCACATATCCAAAATCTAAGTTTTGACAAATCATCCATGTCTCCACCAGTATTATTTTATTAATATGTATAAAATAATACACTGACCAGGAAGTACCAGACTATTCTAATTTAAGAATATCTAATCCTAATCCAACCTATACATACAATAACCATAGATGACATTTTAATCATTTAACACATAACAATATAATTATGCATTGGCAATTCAATCATGCCATTATAAATATATTTATTTATATATTGACAACTCAACCATGCCTCCTCAAGTATATATATTTATACTTTTAATTAACAATTTATCCATACTTCCCATTTATGTATTTTATTCATACAAATAATAAGGTAATATATTTAAGCCTTTGGCAACTCATCTATGCCTACAATTCAACCATGTACCAAGTTTAAACTTAATTAATAAGCTAAATCATACATATACATCTTATGCATATCATACGCGAAAACATTAATTTAAAACCAACCCATCCTGATATACTAATTAAGAATGATTAATATTAATCATCCTCAATAATATATACATATACACACATATATTATTTAATATATATATATATATATATATTCCTCCTCCCATCACCAATTATTAGTTAATTATATATACGCGTATTAAATACTGTAGTGATACTTGATGTGTCTCCTAACACCAATAACACATCCTTTAAGGGTTGATTTCTACACTAGAAAGCTTAAAATCAATTATGGGACATCACTGGGCCTCACAGGAACTTTCTGGAACACCGTACGCCACCTCACGCGCCCCCACCCGACTCCACATGCATCTAAACACACTGCACGCGCTTCCACGCGCCACCACAAATAGCCACGCGTCTTCACGCATCCCCACACGTTGCACACGTGCCTAATACCTCTCTGGCTGACGTGGCGCACTGTCATTCCCTGGTTGTACTTTGTCCATATGCGCGCGTCTCACTGGATCATCTCTCCGCGAATCCATGCACCTGTGCTACACCGTATCAATCTCTCTTTGATCAAGCAACATTAATGGCTCTGATCCGTGGTAGATCGAATCTCCATGTATCCGCACTACACCAAATCAATCTACTTAATATTAAAGTAATCCAGTGGACCAGATCAGCGTATGTACCACCTTCAGATACACCTGCCCACACCGGATCTTCTGTTGATCTTCAGGACCATCCTAAGGTCCTGATCTAAGCGCATTGAAGTACCATGCGCCTTGCTGCACCGAATCCCAGCCCTTTATTGGGTGCGCCGATTTGAACAGCCTCCAGTATACATTATATAAATAGTTTATATTATATACAACTAATTTAAACACATATATAATTATATATATATATAATTCTAATAATAAAAAAAATCCAGAAAAATACTAAAAAATTTTATAAACCCTAGTTAACCCTCTTGGGTCCATAGATCAAGCCTAACTGATGATTTTAAATATACTCAACCTATATATATAAAATTAATTAATTAAAATCCAACAATTTCAAATAAAATAATAATAATAATAATAATCATGCTTTTAATTAGTCCATTATAACCATTATTTAATTAATAGATTTAATCCAAAGCCTTGATACTCAAGGTGAAATCCTTATAGGTTCTAAGAAGAAAGTTAGAGAAGAACTCGCCTGAAGGTTTTGAAACGAAACCGACGTTTCAAGCTTTAATTGTCTCTTTTAATTCCGGCATCTTTATTCTCCAATCCGTCCTCCTCTTTGTCAGCCTTCTCTTCTTTTTCCCTCTCATCTCTCTTATTTTTCTAACATGACAAACTTTTAACCCTAAAGCCTTATGTGTATTTTTATACACCTTAAATTCCAAATCCTATTCCAACTAGGACTATGAATTAAAATAAAAACCTTTAAATAATATATATCTATAAACCTATATTAAATTACATATATATATATATATATGGACCTTCCATAATTAACCATTGGTTAATTAAATCATATATACCTATATATATCACCATAAATATATATCTATATATATATCCTTCCATAACACTTATTAATTAATTATATTTATATATAATTAAATATATATATATATATATATAATTATACAAAATAATCATTTTAAATAATCACATAACCATGGGCCTTTATTAATTAACCCATTTAGGCTTCATCTAAGCCTAAGACCATATCATTTGGTCCAACTTTCCTTAAGCCCAATCCAATTAATTTAAATAAATAAAATAATTAAATAAATACTTAATAGGGATGTCAATTTTTACCGCCCCGTCGGGGCCCCGCCCTGTCCCACCCAGTTAATAACGGATATTGGAACACTTGTTATACCGTTGTGGCGGACATGGATACAAATTTTGTACCCGTCGAGAGTCACGGGGCGGGTAAGGGTTCAATATACATATCCTAGGGGCCCCGCACCACATATAACTATATTTAATATATATATATATTAATAAGTTATTTTAGCGGCTTACCCAATTACCCATCTCTTACAATCCTAATTTGGGATGTAAACTTGGTATTAAATTTGCTTTTGTTTTGGTTATGGTGGAAGTTGGAGCTTAGAACTTCTTGTGATTTGGTTGTATTAAACTTTTATTTTTGTTTATTATATTCTCTGAATTATGTTATGTGCATGTTATTTTTTTTATTTTTATTAGGATGCATAATTTTATTTATGTTGTGTCATTCCTAGGCTTTGCACATTTAAATAGCAGGAGTTTAAGTTCCAAAAAGTGGGAGAAAAAAATTTATTAGTGGGGCGGGCACGGGGGCACAGTATTTCCTAACGGGGCGGGGTTGGATATGAAAATCCAACTCGTCGCGGGTCTCGGGGCGGGCATGGACTTGACAAAAATTAAAAGGGGCGGGGCGGGATTTAGGGAAACCCGCTCCAAACCCGCCCCGTTGCCATCCTTAATACTTAAATTAAAAAATAACTAATTACCTAGAGCATATAAACAAATAAGAATTTACAACTAAGTCATACCATACCAATAAAATCAATACGCCAACAATTCAATTAATAATTAAACACACAGACAAAAATCATCATATCAATAATTCATAAAACATAAATAAAATAAAATAATTACTGTAAGCACTCAATTAATTAAAACAAATCATTTAAAAATAAAAATAAAAGCGATTAATCCCAAATAAATCAAAAAAATTAATTTAAATAAAAATAAAATCATGAATCCCAATAAATAATACCTTTAAAATATTAGGGTATTACATTTTAGGTATCTGAGAATTCTATAGACTGCATCAAAGTGTTTTTCGTCCAGGTGAATGAATGAACTGGCTAATCATGTTGACTGCAAAAGCTATATCTAGACGTGTATGTGACAAGTAGATTAATCTTCCAACAAGTCTTTGATACTGCTCTCTATTCAGAACTTCTTCATCTTTAGAAAGCTGCAGCTTAAGGTTGGGCTCAATAGGTGTCTCGACTGGTTTACATTTTAGCAGACCTGTCCCACTAAGTAAATCAAGAACATATTTACATTGAGTCACAAATATCCCTTCTTTGGAACTAGCAAACTTCATTCCAAGAAAGTATTTTAATACACCCAAATCCTTGAACTCAAAGTCAGCTGCAAGTCTCTTCAGTTTCTCTAATTCTTCATTGTCATTACCTGTTAAGACTATATCATCCACGTAGACAATTAAGACTACAACCTTGCATTTTCTACTATGTTTGTAGAACATGGTATGGTCAGCTTGGCTCTAACAGTAGCTACAATTCTTCACAGCTATCCCAAATCTCTCAAACCAAGCTCTAGGCGACTGTTCGAGACCCCATATAAAGATTTTTTTAGTCTACAGACTTTATTAGGTCCCAATTTTTCTTCAAACCCAGATGGTAGATTCATAAAGACCTCCTCCTCAAGATCTCCATTTAAAAAGGCATCTTTTACATTTAACTGGTGTAATGGCCAGCTGAAATTCACAGACAAAGATAACAAGATTCTGATTGAGTTTATCTTGGTTACAGGAGCAAAAGTTTCCTGATAATCAATTCTATAGGTCTGGGTGAACCCTTTTTGCTATTAGTCTTGCTTTATACCTCTCATGCTACCATCAATTTTACATTTCACAGTAAAGACCCACTTGCAACCTACTATTCTTTTTTCCTTAGGTAAATCAACTATCTCCCAAGTACCATTTCTTCTAAGAGCATTCATCTTTTCCATTACTGCTACCTTCCAATTCGGATCATTAAGAGTTTCCTAAATGTTTCTCGGGCTAAACAAGTGTGAGATTTTTGAGGTAAAAGCCCTTTGAGTATGAGAGAGTTTTTAATAAGAAAGGTATTTGGTAATGGGATATTTTGGATTTGGATATTTAATTCGAATACATTTCCTAACAGTTATAGGAATATCAAGGTTTGATGGTTCTTTGTTAGGAGAAGCAATGGGAACTGAAGATGATTTAGGTTCAGAATTACCTGTGATATCTAGAGGTCCAGTTCCCGGAGGTTGAGATTGATCATTTCCAAGAGGAATATGCAGACTTTGACTCTTTTGATGAGGTCTTCTCCGAGTATAAACCAGAGGCTCAGTATTGGGAACTTTTGTGCCCAGTTGTAGTGGTTCTTCCCTTGTTTCAGATATAATAATGTTTGGCACTGTATGACTAGGATTCCCTTCATTGTTTTCATTGGTTTTATCACATTGTTCCTGACTTTGAATTTCGGGAATAACAGTAGGATGAGGTGAAGTAATCAAAATCACATTTGGTAAAGGAGTAGGAGATAAATCCCAAAAATTTTCTTCCATCACCTTATTTTTCCCCTAAAGAGAATTTTTGTGAAAGTAGAATTTATTTTCAAAGAAAGAGACATCCATACTCACATAAAATTTTCTTGTTTGGGGATTATAGCACTTATATCCCATTTGAGTAGAAGCATACCCTATGAAAACACATTTTTCAGCTTGAGAATCAAGTTTGGATCGAGTATTATTGCGTATGTGAACAAAAGCTATGCAGCAAAAAACCTTTAGAGATAAATCCGAATATATTCTTGATAAAGGAAAAATTCTTTTAAAACATTCTAATGGCGTGCTATATTTTAAAACACGTGTAGGCATTATGTTAATTAAATATGACGCTCTTAAAACAACTTCCCCCCAAAGATATTTTGGAATATTCATTAAAAACATTATAGCACGAGCCACTTCAAGTAAATGTTTATTATTTTTTTTTTTTTAGCAATTCTGTTTTGTTGAGGGGTATCCACACAAGTAGACTAATGATGGATAAAAACTCCCCAAAATTTCATTAAAATACTCGGTTCCATTATCGGTGTGAAAAATGCTAATTTTTGCTTAAAACTGAGTTTCAATCATTATGTAAAAATTCTTAAAAAAAATTTCAACCTCAAACTTTTCATTTATCAAATAAACTCAACATAAACGGGTATAATCATCTATAAAAGTAACAAATCATTTTTTCTTAAAAATAGTAGTGACTCTTGAAGGTCCCCAAACATCACTATGTATTAAATAAAATAGTTTTGAAGGAGCATAAGGTTTAGGCAAATAAGTAGTACAATAACTCTTAGAGAAGCAACAACTTTCACATTAGAATGATGAACAATCCAAATCTTTAAATAAAGTAGGAAACGTTTAAGATATGGAAAACTAGGATATCCTAGTTTTAAATGCCAAAACATTATTTGTTCATAAATAGAGTTAGAACTAACACTACTGAGGCCCTGAGCCTTTTTATTACTGGAGAAGTCACCATTAAAGTAGTAAAGTCCATCTATTATCTTAGCACTGCCAATCTTCTTCCCCGAATTATCGTCCTGAAATTCACAGTAAGAATCACAGAAAATTACATGACAATTTGATTATTTGGTTAGTTTACTCACAGACAAAAGGTTACAGGCTAGTTTAGGGACATGGAGAACAGATTTATGATCTATATTCTCGGATAATTGTATCAAACATTTTCCTGCAATAGGTGAGAAACTACCATCTGCAATTCTAATTTTTTCAAGGCCAGAACATGGTGAGTAAGTGCTAAAAAGATTGGAAAGGCTGGTTATATGATCAGAGGCTCCAGAATCGATGATCCATGAAACAGAATTTAAATAACAAGAAAGGGCATTAAGTGTATTACCTGTTTGTGCAAGAGAAATACTAAGAATACCAGATGAGGAATTAAATTTCAGCAGCTTCAGAAGGTGATCTATCTGCTCCTTGTTTAAAGGACTTGTCTCAGCTTCATTGACAATAGGAACCGCATGCCTATTTCTGTCACCAGGCTTGCTACTCTTCTAATTCGTTGGTTTTTCATGAATTTTCCAGCAGTTCTCCCGAGTATTGCACGATTTGTTGCAAAAGTCACACCAGGCCCATAACTTTTCTTCAAGTTTTCGCTGAAAATTGACTGCTCTATTAGCAACAGTCTCGACAACAACAAGGGCAGAACTTTCAACAAGCTCACTGATAGTTATCTTTCCCAACATTACATGTCTGCGGCTTTCTTCTCTTCGAACCTCACAAATCCCTCACCAATTAGAGGAAATGGAGTCTTGCCAATGATCCGTCCCCATGCTTCATCAAATTCCATGTTGAACCAGGGATGTCACCAAGTTATACAGGAAAAGGGGACCAAACCTAATTTGAAATTCAACGCCACATACTGGATACGTGACTCCAACCTCCCAGATGATTGCTCCAGGGTTGTCACCAAGTTATACTGGAAACGGCGGGTTAACCGTGACCGATGCAACGGTCAGGTTGATGTGTCGCTGAGGGAACTCAGAGGTAGGCCGCCTGGACCCTATGTGGAATACCCTGTGAATACACAGGGATCGCTGAGATTTACATACCGGTTTGGGAGAACCCGATCTTATAGCCGGATCAAGAAAGCATTAGGAGGAGTTATTACGGTTTTGTGTTATAACTGGCTGTGCCGCGTTGTCTAGCTAATGGCCATCTATATCTATACAATTTCTGCCGGACTATGGACTACTGCTCACCGAAATTGTGACTTTGAATCCTGGTCATTTATGTTTGTCGATCTCATAGCTGGTTCAAGAAAGCATTCGACGGAGTTGTTAGTGTCATGACTTGCTCTGCCGCGTTGGCTAGCTGCTAATTGCCATCTATATCTATACAATTTCCGCCGGACTAGGAACTATTGATGGTGAAGCTTTCACCTGCTGCTCACTGGAATTGTGACTTTAAAGTTTAAATCCTTGGTCATGTTTGTCTCCGTATTGGGGCTGGGTTTGTATTTTAGTTTGGGCTGGGCCTGTCATATAAGGCTTTTATTTTAGTAACATTTTAGCCTTCCTCGGGCCACTGTACTCATATTTTCTTCTATGGAATTTACCTTTACTTTCCACACACACAAAATATATATATATATATATATATATATATATATATATATATATTTTCTTCTATGGAATTAATCTTTTTGGGAATGTTAAGCAAGTTGTACAAATAGGTAAATTCCTCTTCTTTTCTTGTTGTTTGATCAATCTTTATGTGTTAAAAAAAAAAAAAAAAAATTCAATCTTTATATGGGGTAATTGTATGGTTCTGTAACCAAATTAGAATGATATATAGTTTTCATTTTACCTCTCTCATTAGTTGTTATCGACCATCATTCTTCTTCTATTTTAAAAATATATATTTTTAGATCAATTGCATAAAATTTTCATGACCTAAAACAACTTACATCTCACCTTAGCTACTAAATGTTAATTATCACATGATCGACCAAAATATTTTGGAAGACACCTACCCTATTGCATCAAGTTTACATGGTCAAAACATTATCTACTCATAGGTTTTTTACATCAAAATATATATCATTATCTACTCATAGGTTTTAAGTGCGATGCTCGATTTTGGACATTCAGCAAACAGACTTCTGTAACCTGGAAAAGTTAAAAATTCAGTCCTTTTAAATTAAAAATTAAAACAAAATAAACCAGATAATTAAATATTTAACTAACACATAATTACAAATAACTACACAATTAAATTACATAGATCACATCATACAAATACACATATATAAAACATATAATTCACATCAAACAATTAAGTCATTTAAACACATAAATATATAGTCACATAATCAATTAAAATGCAAATAAAAATAATTAAATAAATCCTTTAAAAAATCTACTAAAAATTAGGAATATTACATAATTTGACAAATTTCGTTATCAAAACGAATCTGATCAAGTTGTAGATTTTTGGTTCGATTTGTCAAGATTCAAGATCGGAAACAGAATTTAAAAAGTGATCATATTCATACTTTGATACACTCTGTGATGATGAAAACAATGCATTAGGAAGGTAAGCGAGTGAATTACCCGAGTGAATTATCAGGTTCATACTTCAACACACTCCGTGATGTAAACTCAAATAGTAACTATCCATGAAAAATATATGTTATGTGTATATAGAGTAAGAGTGGAAGAAGATAATTTATTATTATTATGGTGAATTATTATTTTTAATTTTAAACTCAAATAGTAACTATATTAAGTCTTACATTGTAATCAAGGATTCTGTGATTGAATGTTATTTTTTCTACTTTTTAAAATAGGTGATAAAAATTATATGAGTGGTATGTGTGAGTTTTTTGCTGTAACCAAAAAAATATAAATCAAAAATAAAAATAAAAATAAGAGGAGTACATATGGTGGTCCCGGGTGGCTCATTGTGAACCATTTATTTCGTGCGTGCATTGGAAAACGCGTAAAAGAAGTGGACAGGGTTTTTGATCCCAAACATTCCCCGCAAAAAATTGGTCAATGTCTTATTTTTATGTCATTTAAGATTTATTTGCACAAATATAAGGACTTAATATTTTGGGTAGGTAATTTAAAAAAATGTTTTTCTTTGGAGAATTGTGATTCGTAAAACATTCTTTTTGAAAGAGATATAGAATATATCAAGAAGTTCACTTTTGTGATTGACCTAAAAATTATTTTTCGTTTATTAATTGCTCAGTGAAATAAAAGATTCCAGCTTTTGGTTATAGATCTTAAAAGTAACAGAGATATCACATTTTCAATTGTTACTACTTACTATATTCATAATCCATTTGCTCTTAAGTAACAAAAATATGGTCAAAATTGAGAAACTATTGAAGTAAGGTTTATAGGTTCAACTTTTTTGTTTTCCTTTCCTTTCATTAAGCTTGTTGGCTCATTATATGCTAGTTTTGTTTTTTGTTTTTTTATAACATTTGATGCTAGTTAAAAAAAACATTACTTGTAAAAATATACATATAGGCGCGTGTGTATATATACATTTCGTGCCTGCATGGGAAAACGTGTAAAAGAAGTTGGATTGGAGAGGCTTTTTTGTGTGTTTTTTTTTGTTGAAAGTATGGATTGGAGAGGCTTATCGATTCTGTCAGCATTTAGAAGAGAACTATCAGCTTTGTTTAAGGCTGAGCTTTGTTTGTCTTCGTATAAAACACACACACACACACACACACACACACACACACACAAAGGACCAACTTGCAGTGGTGGGCATTGGTGTTCCTGGACCTACACTCATAACATCACCAGCTAGCCTAAATGTGTGGATCCTATTGTAGTGGTCTAACACCCCTTTTTGTTTTCAAGTCCATATCATATTCTCTCCATTGTTTGATACGATATTCCAACATTATTATTATTATTGTTAGCAATGAGAAACTATCATACGGCAACTACAAAACACAACAAAAAATACATAAAGGCATAAGACACACCCTGAACAAAATCACCAGCTAGCCTAAATGTGTGGATCCTGTTGTAGTGGTCTAACACCCCCTTTTGTTTTCAAGTCCATATCATATTCTTTCCATGGTTTGATACGTTATTCCAACATTATTATTATTATTATTATTATTATTATTATTATTATTTTGTTTTTTTTGTTTTTTTTGTTTTTGTTTTAGCAATGAGAAACTATCATATGGTAACTACAAAACACAACAAAAAATACATAAAGGCATAAGACACCCACTAAACAAAACTACCATAATATGAGAAATAGGCAAAAAGACCCTGTCACCCTGCACCCTAAAAAGCATTTCATGGCCCAACCCAAACGAAGATCCATAAACAATTGGTCCTTTTCAATTGCAGGCCACAGAATTGGGCTTAAAGCAAGACCAAAATGAACATTAGCACCATTGAAGAGACCACCATTACAATCACATACTAGACATTACAGTGATCAATAATTTGTGGGCCCACCATTCTAGAAAAAACTGTCCTCGCATTTTTCACACGCTGCAATAAAGGAAAGTTTGACCCGAAATTCAAAAGCTTGACGCCACATTATGCAGTGTGAGAAACAAGGGGGACCTAGGGTTGCACAACGACCAAACTAAGGGTGTTGGCCCATCCCCAGTGAACCACCATTAGTGTGAGCCTCTTCGGCAACAACAAAACACCACCCATAACAAAGCAACAAAAATCATATGCACCGAATGATTTTCAGCCTCACAGATTATACCAGCGACAACCAGCCACGACTTATAGTCCATGGCTGCAACATATTTCTCACAAGGAGGGATTAGACTAGTCTCAACTTCTATGAAACATTATCTGCATGAAGAAAACACAAACAAAAACCTGAGATTGAAAAGCTGAAACCTCCCAACCTAAGAAAACCTCCTCACCGGCAAGCTTCACCATCAATAATAAATCCGGCCCCTAACTACCTGAAACCACCATTCATTCCACCATATCAGCATCAAGATAACCCCAATCCAAAGACTCCTATTCAGAAGGCAAAGACCCCAGCACAGAAAAACAAATCCATCAAGATATTTTCTCCTAACCAACCTCCACCCTGTTGAAAATAAACTTGATTTTAGTATTTAGTATTTTCAAATATTTTTGTATCCATGATGCATGTGTTAATTTAGCATGTTAGTGGGTAGTAAATTGTCTTAGTGGGAGTTAAGGTTATGTAAAATAAAGAGTCATGAGAGTTAAGCCTAACAAATACTATGTTAGTGGGAGTTATGCATATTGAAGATTATGTTAGTGGGAGATAGGAGAGTTATGGACATTTAAATGTAATGGTTACACATACATATGTGAGGCCTATATATTCATATACTCTACTCTAGCCAAATAATAAATCAAGTGAAATAAAAAGTATTTTCCTCCATTTCTATTCTCTTCCAAATAGTATAGTGTTGTGTGTGTAACTAGGCCACTATTTCCAACACACCCAACCTATATACACAAGTTTACCCTCCCCCCATTCCACCTTCCTACAATGGCAAAACCCAATCTCATTTTCCTTCACCCACCACCAACCCCATACGGATGATCACCTTAACCTCTAACCATATTACTACCAACACAAGCAAAAACAAAGCACCTCAATTTTATTACCCTGATAACAGACCAACTCACGTTACCAAAAACAACAGATCTTACCTAACCAAAAACAACAAAGCCTATCCAAAAAACTTTAACCCAACACTTTATAGCTCACGGGGACACCAAATTAAAAGACTCACTGAGCAACTCCAATGGAATGATGAAAATTTAGGAAGAGCACTTGATATATACAAGGACATGAAGAAGACTGTCTCTGAGCTAAGAGCTGAGCTTGTCATGCTCAAGGCTCAGAAAGATCATCCACATTCAACATCTCCTCTAGTAATCACTATCTCAAAATCTCCAAATGCAGTAACCACATCAGCTACACACCTGATCACAAAGGAAGGCCCAGCAATCACAACAAGGGATGCAAAGGCAACCACTGAAGGACCAGACCACCATTCATGCAGCATACTGAAGGAGCAACCACCACCAACAACCACCTCCACCACCACTCTCTGGAAGCAAACCACCATGGTGGACCCATGTTTGAATTTGAATTTGAATTTAAATCTTCCACATGTGACTATTGCATCACCTTTGCAGGCCACCCCTCTCCCTATCACAAATAAGGAAACCTATATGACATGCAATCAACCTAATACCACAGTACCTATCTTTTCTCAACAAAACTGTCCATCACCACATCACTCACCTAACCAAGATATTACCACCAATCCAGCACAGCTACCTGTCCCACCCCTGACAAAATCACATGGCACCAACATACCATCACAACACACTATTGCCCAATATACAAAGTCTCATGACATTGTACGAAAAAAAAAAAAAAAAAAAAAAACACATTGGTATGAAG